GCCAGTGGTCCTCCAGAGCATCAAAGCCATGCATGACAGACAGACTGGGGAGCTCTTATAGGCTGGGGAGAACAAGGAGCCATAAGAACATAAGGATATGTGATGAGGGATTAGATCCTGGGCCAGAAAGAGACATCAGCAGGACAATGGCAAAACTGAAATAAAGCCTGTAGTTAATTTTCTGATAATTGCGTTGTTATTTTGTAACAAATTAACAATTAACTAACAATTAGTGGAAACTAGATGATGAATATGTTGGAACTTTTTGTACTATTTTTTGCAACTTTTTTGTTGAGTCTGAAATTAGTTCACAGTAAAAGTATTTAAAAATATAGCAAGTTCCCTGTCACTTGAGTTCAAATAGGAGGTAACCAATCAATAGAGAGTTGTAGAAGAAATTCAAGGCATAGCCCGGTGGTTTGTTAGCCTTTAAGTTCTCCTTAAGCCATGAGATTTCTTCAAGAACATTAACAGAATTCTTGGTTTATAAGGGCAAATAGAGGGTTCTATATGAGCTTTGATCCAGTGCTAATCCCTTGACTATAGAAAGTGAGCTGCTAGCTCATCACAGCCAATGGTACACAATCTGAGGATCACAACATGCATTATGAAATAGTTCAGAATAAAATTATCTTAGTTTTCACTTCCAAGACGTTACATACTTGAGAACAAATACACATTTATTGACGAGTGTTCAGTCTTATACAAGATAATGACACAAAGCATTTCAACAGGGCCGGGGTTGTGGCTCAGTGGTAGAGCACTTGCCTCGTATATGAGACGCTGGGTTCCATTCTTAGCACTGCATACAAATAAATGATTAAAATAAGGGTCCATCAACAACTAAAAAATATTTTTTTAAATGGGATTTCAACAATTTAAATGAGGTGAAAATTAAACTACTGAGTGTAGATAGGACACACCTGTTAAGGCTAACATTCCAAAATAGTATTTGCAGTATGGTCCCATTTTTGTCAAAGTTAAAATACATGTATAGGAAACAGCCTCATGTTTTATAGGACAAAATATAAACAGTGGTTAAGTCTGTGCAGTGGAAGAAAGTGATTTTCTCTTTGCTTATCAATGATTTCTAAAATTTCCCCAATAAAAGTGAAAATAATAAAAATTATTAATGTTTTGAAAGAAAGCAGCACGACAATTTTTTACTTCTCTAGATAGTGAGTAATGAACTAAGCACTTCAGATGAGTAGAGGTAGCTAAGAATAACACGTCTATACTCCGGATCATCACTTGTGTTAGGATGACTTGGTAGAAACTACAAATGGGAGGTGATAAGAGAACTTTTCTGTGACCATTTCAGTTGAAATAATGTCAATAATCACTCAGAGACAATTTCAAGCACTGGTAATTATTAATGTAATAATGTCACAGGAAACACTAACATCCTATGCCTGATTCATTTTATTAGTAGTTTTCTTTTAAAAGTGAAAAGAGAGGAAGTACTTTTATAAGGGGGAGGAAAAAGAACTATCCACTGGGATTTTTTTTTGGTCTTATTTTATCGTCATATATGAAATGGAAAGAATTAATTTTGTCCTTCTCTTTAAACTGACATCCATTCTCCAGGGATCAGAATATAACACAGTGCTCCTTAAATTTTCCTGTGTGAACCAGCTTGGGAATTTTGATGACACTGGTCTTGGGTGGAAGCACAACTTTGCACAGGAATCCTCTGGATGTTTTCTAGCACTCTGGATCTTGGGCCTAATCTATACTTACTGGATCACAATCTACATTTTTCCTAGGATCTCCATCTGACCTGCATGCACATTAAAACTTGAGAGGCTCTGGTCTAAAGAACTCAGACAGTCCAGCTGACTTTGGGTCTCTCTCTAGTTTCCTATGAAAATTAGTTCACAAAATAATGATACTTTTAAAAGATCTCAGAACCTGAAGCTGGCACTGAACTCTACTAGCAAATGAGAAAGCTTAGCTTCGCCTTGTAAAAATGTTTTTAGATAGTTAAAACATTTCCCCTAAAATAAAAATAAAATTTTCCTTGATTTTCAGGTGGCTTTCATATTTGTTTTTATTGGCTTTAATTGGCTGAATTAAAATTTTTGTGGTGAATTCAAAGCCCATCATTTATTGACACATCCTGTCTCACTTGAGGACTGCTTCAGAATCTGCTTTTTAACCCTCCTGGTGACCTTTCGTCTCTCAGATACTGTGATGGTAGGATTAAAAACAGCTTTAGGTGGCATAACTGCTTTAGGTGGCATAATATAACTGCCACCTAAAGATTAGATTTTCAGGGCCTTGAACATGGTAGGCAAGTGTTCTACCTCTGAGCCACACCCTCACCCCACATTAAAACTTTCTCACAGAAGGATGGGGCAACCTGACTATTCTTCCTGAACATTTTAGTGGTGAACCACTTCTGATTATACCTACTAGAAGGCCAAAAAGAAGCCAATTGTGTGCCAGGTTTAATACTGAATTTCAATCTTACAGACACCCTCATATTGGATCATATTTAAATCCATGAAGGCCATTCTACTACTATCAGTTTTATACAGTAACTTTCACCTGATATTCTCACTTCTACTATGAGTTCCAACAAGATTTGCTGAGAATTTACTTACTAACATAAAAATTAAGCAAAGTATATTGCAAAAATAAAGCTCATGAAATACATTTAAAATCAAATACACTATTCATTGTAGTAACATTAGATACAAGCTGAAAATTTGAGCCTAAATATTTGAAAGTTACAAATACAGAAAATCAATAGGTAGTGTTTTTTCATAGAGTAAATGCAGTGCCTGCTAAAGCTTGATCTATCATTCCCTGTACTATGTATGTTGTTTTCAGAGCAAAGAAGCCACTTGGAAGAAAAGCTAAAAATGAAAGTGCTGACTCACCATGTACTCTCTCTCACCTGAGATCTGCTGCTCAAAATTATGTAAGAGTTAAGTTTTCTTTTCCTTTTTTTTTTCATCCTTAGGAAAAGTTCTCATAAGTTTTGAAAATGTTTGGTAAAATTTATAAAATTTTTAAACATTTTATAATTTGATTTAATGCTAACCTTAAAGATCATAGGCAATTTTGATAAGGGAGTCATCCATGAGCTTGTAGTTTAAGGATTTCTTACTATTGTAAAATCTATGATAATATTCCATCTAACTTCATCAAGACTTCTACAGAGATTTTTTTTTTTATTTTTTGGATATTGCATTATCTATTTACCACTAGTCATTTTTTTTCCTATAGGCACCATTTTTGGATAAATTTCTTGTTTATCACTGATGTTAAAATATTAATTATTTAGTAAACAAATCATTAAAGTTGTAAGATTATATATATTGAGCAAAGTTTTCTATTTCCACACATCATTTTATATTTTGATTTAAAGAGGGTTTGGGGCGAGTTGTACTTCATTATTCTCATAGAACAATATACTTTCACGTAAACAGGATTTGACTGTTTCACATTTTTCTAGGTATAGTTGATTGTTTATAATTTCCAAACTATAAATAAGATTTTAAAATGAGGATTATGTATTGTGATCTTTGACATGATAATTTCCAATTTTTAAATTTTGTTTGTTTTGGTATGAGAGATTGAATCCTGGAGCAGTTTACCACTGAACTACATCCTCAGCCCTTTTTGTATTTTGATACAGGGCCTCAATAAGTTGCTAATACTGGCCTCAAACTTGGGATACTTCTGCCTCAGCCACCCGAGTCACTGGAATCACAGGTGCCTGTCTAAACCCCAGTGTTCTGAAAAAATATAAATTGAGTTGTTTAAAGTAATGTCAACTGAAAAAAAAGTCCCAGCAGACTGTATATAGTATACTATCACCTTTAGAAGGCTAAAACTTAGAAAATCTAAACACTGTATTGTGCTAGAAGTACAAACATGTGTGATAAAATAAGCAGGAAAAAAAAGTATGAGCAAGATCCATGAGTGCTGTAACCTCTAAGGGGTCTGCATGAGAATGGTTATAGGGGAACAGCTCACAAGGTAGCTGCAAATTATTGGAACACACACACACACACACACACTTCATCATGAATATCACTTAATTTTTAAGTGCTAGAAAACCAGCAGGTTTAGATTCTTCAGGAACAAATTAATGATGAGAATGTAGGAATCCCCTCTGAGTTGAGGGACTGTATGGAGCACTGTATTCTTTGACTACCATTTTCCAATATATATTTCAATTTATGACAAATATTTACTGATTTCTTCTGAGATTCCTACTGGCTAAACAGTGTGCATGATCATCTTTTCTAATAATGTGTTTTGTGTAGTTTGTTTTACTATTCCACTGACTTCTTAAATAGTGATATTAGAACAATAACAGTTCTGCTTACACTGCAGGAGAAAAGGAAATCTTAGATCATCCTGCTCGTATTCATAGTCAATGAGATGTGGTCACAATTTAGATCAATGAATGTGTTATTCCTAGCAGAATATTTCTGTAATTATATTTTTGATTATGGAGACTCAGTGCAAGTAGACACTTGGCAAGGCTTACAATGGCTCAGAAGAATGTTCTGGAATAAATCATTTTGTTCATGCTGGGTACTGGATAGACTAGTTTTTGCAAGACTTAGAGGCAAGCTATGTTATTACTCAGATCAGTAAGGACAAGCCTCCATATTACTAGTTGCATAAATATTTTCCTTCAGAGAAAAAAGAAAACCTCTCCTGGGATTTGTGAGGCAGCTTTGGGATGGAGAAGAGAAAAATAAACCCTACAAGTTAACTAATTTAACTAATTAACTCAGAAGCATGAGTTCTGAGAGTCTAGTCTGAATTTAAGCAGATCACTTGGGGTTAAGGTAAAATGCTTCACCCTTCTGGAAGCACCTTGAACTCTGTTTATTCCAAAGGTATAGATTTTGAATGAAAATGTAAAACTAACTTAAAAAAATTAAAGACTGATTGAATGAAAGCAGATCTAATGATTTTCACATCTCTTGTATTCGGTTTCTCTTTTAACACCTCAGGAAGAACATCTACTGTACCTGGCGAGGAGTCCTCTCTGATTTGCTTCTGCACCACTCCCAGTCTGAGAGGTCTGGCTTCTGATTCTCTTCATGAGAAAGTCTTCTTTCTGGGCCTTCAGAGAAGGTGGTTTCTTCATTGTCAACACCACCTCCTGATCTCTCAGAAAATGCCCCCTTTCCTTGGTCAGAACCTCCCTGGGCCTCTGCAAGGTCAGCACTGCTGCATTTCTCCAAACTGCTGACTCTGTCGCTGTCCAGAGAGGGTGTGGTGCTGATCTGCACTTTGATGGCATTGAAGATCCTGGGGTTGTCTCTCTGAGAGTCTAGCACAGTCGCGGACTCAGGGTTCATCAGGTGGTGACAGGATGTGGAATTTTCATCATCGTCATAGTAATCCCCACGTGCTAGCTTATAGATCCCATAGCTTTGTTGGAATGACAGATTGAATTCAAAGCCTCTCCTCTTGGCTAGGTGAAAATGAGAAAAAAAATCCCACAGTTAGGTGGATATAAACAACCCTTGGGTGTACATGGTGAGTAACAATAGGAAGTGCTTTCAACAAGATTGCTATCTAACTGACTATTTTCAGTTACTTCTTGTCAATTATGTGAAACAATTATTCCTTACAAAATGCAGCCGTCTTATCTCTGGTCTAATTTTCCTCCATTGCACATGAAGGGGCTTGAATTACATACAATCTGAAGAACTCCTTTATTCTTTAGGATAATCCACATAGCAAAAATTTAGCCATAAATTAGGAATCTCTCAAATAGATTCAGTTTTAGATTTTTGGTCCATCAATTCTGAAATTCATTTATTTTGGAATATAACATATTGTGTTAATTATCAAGTAACATTAAGATTACATGTTATTCAGTTAAGAATGCCACAAACAGATATAATTGCTTTAAAACTTTTGCTGTATAACACTTCTGACATTTGTGTGACTATGAATGCCTGTATTAAAAATTATACCATGCTGCCATGCGGCTTTTAAACTTTTTTAAAATAGCGAGTACATTTCTTATACAAATCAGTTTGGAATAGTTGGCTAAAAAAGTGAATGGATGTATATCTCTGTGACCTGAAGCATTTAACAGTATGTACAGAGCTGATTAATTAGCAGGAATGTAGAAAATCTAAATAATGATTTAAATAAGGTAAAATATTCTAGAATTTTAGACATAATGCTGTTAGTGAGTACGATGCAAAATCTTAGTAGAATAACAAGACTGTGGCAGAAAGTGATAAAATGTTTGTGTGTGAATGCCATTCAATATTAGGTAATATATTTTAAGAAAAAGTTTTAGCCAAGTGGTAGACAAAATGCAATTTAATACTTTAGTTGTCATCTTTGAAAACATTGCTTGTTTCAAAGAAATTTTCTACTTTGATAGTTCTGTGTTTTATAGTCCGACATATTGCTATCTTTGGTGGCAAAAGTTATGAAAAGCTATAAAGTTTCTATGGGAGTCATATGAAATATTTGATTCACTTTCTAATACACTCCAGTGTCATTCACATGCTGATTCTATTACTGAAATGTTCCCAGAACCAGAGATTTAGAAGCCAATTTTGCTGACTGAAAAATAGAATTTATCAGTATAATTCATTGTCATTTGAGCCAGAACACAAACAAATAAAAAATTCTATTCAGAGAAAATGGAAAAACAGAAACAGATGATCATATTTTATACACTGCCTCATTTGTGTTTCTCCTTAGGATTCCTATTAATCTAGTCCAGGAAAATTAAATTAGGATTTTAGACCTACTTTAAGAACATCAAAGGTGAGGGGAACTGAAAAGATTATTTAATTATTGATGGGCTTCCTTCTCTCCAAAAAAAAAAAAAAAAAAGGTATGGAGTGACAAATTGGTAATTCAGGAACATTAAGAAAACAAAAATGTCATAAAATGCTAACTTCTTGATTAATACTTGATAAAACTGATGTCTGACTAGATAGCTTATTAGCTGTCATAATTTTGAACTACGTAAAAATGAGCAATATTTCGAAGGCATTGTAGAATATGTTAATGGAGACTCTGACTTGAGCCAGGACATGATGAGATAGTCCCAGGCAGGCTCTGAGGAGCAGCTGGACTGCCAGAGAGACTACAATGTGGCGGAACCTTCCAGGGCCAAGCTGTTCATGTAGACCACATCATTTGGTACACCAGCAGCCCTGCATGACAAAAAGTTTTATTGGTCCTGCTTTACAGTTGAGAAAACTGAGGCTCATAGAGGAAATCCAGCTAAGATGATTTATCTGTTAAAAAGATTTGACTTTGATGCTGATTCCAGAATTGAAGTAATTATCCTACATAGGAAAAAATTTCTCTACTGCCAATCAGACCCATGAGGAAAATATGTTAGCCTAAGCAAAATGACCCGGACATGCTATTTGTAGGTCGGAGGAAGAACTTTATTTATAAAGTGTAACAAACGAAAACTTTTTTTCTGTTTTATTTTGTTTTATTACTGACTTTCCTTAACGCTAAAGGTAAAATCTGAGTGAGGTCACCAATGGACATAACAAAATATAATGACATCACAGAGCTGACAGTGTTTGAGGAAGGCTAGAAAAATATGTTAGAAATCAAAGCACTTAATAATCAAAACAGTATTGAAGGAGATGTTAGTATCAGAGTCAAACCTGAACATCCCTAAGTTCCTTGAGGACAAAGACTACATCTCTTTAACATTATTAATAACAAATGGCAGAAAGTCCCCAAGACTAAGGGGCCAGTCAGGCAACAGTAATAACTGACAGGGGCCTGTGTATTCAGCAAGCGGGGGAATGACCTTCCATCTTGGTCCCTTCCAGTGAAGCCACTAAGGGGGCCGGGGTGGACTGTACAATCTTGATTTTTTTTTTTGAATTTTTAATATTTATTTTTTAGTTTTCGGCAGACACAACATCTTTGTTTGTATGTGGTGCTGAGGATCGAACCCGGGCCGCACGCATGCCAAGTGAGCGCGCTACCACTTGAGCCACATCCCCAGCCCTGCAATCTTGATTTTAAAAAAATGAAATCTTGATTTTTAAAAAATGAAGCTGATTTTTAAAAAATGAATCTTGATTTTTAAAAAATGAAGCTGAAGCATTGAGTTTGATCTTAAAATTTTGGCCCATAATTAAAATTGGTTAAAAATAAGTATCAAGAGTCAGGTGTGGTGGCACAAGCCTGTAATTCCAGTGGCTCAGAGGCTGAGACAGGAGGATCCTGACTTCAAAGCTGGCCTCAGCAACTTAATAAGGCCCTTAGTGACTCTGCCTCTAAATAAATAAATAAATAAATAAATAAACAAACAAATAAATAAATAAATAAAGGGCTGGGGATGTGGCTCAGTGGTTAAGTGCTCCTGGGTTCAATTCCTGGCACCCCCTGCCCACAACAAATAAATAGTATAAAGATAGGTTCAAAATAAAACATGTCTTTGAGTCAAAATCAGCTCAGGCCAGGAATGACTTATCCGTGCCTTGCTGGACAGGCAGTGACTTCCATGTAGGAAGGAAGTGGCTGAGAGAGTGAATAAATGAAATGACCCATGGTAACTACCCACCTGTGTGTGGCAGGGTATTTGTCAGGACAGCCTGACTCTGTGAGGCAAGCTGAATGGCACACATGTTAATAGAAATGATATCTTTAAAAATTGGTATCTTTATGTATATTTTAAAATTGATTGATTTGGGTTGAGGATATTAAAGTTTCTGAATCTTGTGTTTATGCTGCTTAAAAAATATTGAGCTGTTTTTAAAACTTTTTCTGTAGTGAGAAGTCTTTCATTGATTAGTAGCCTTCAAGAAACTTAAAGACCAATAGAATACAGTCCATTATTTTCTGAAACCTTATATCATGCTTTAAAAAAATAAATATAATTTATTTGTTCTGCAAAGCAAGAGCTTCTAGGATCACTAACCTTGGCTAAAACATTTAGTAGTTCTAGTCTGTTTTCTTTTAATCACATTTTGTCAACTATAATTTTAAAGTAATTTATCAGTTTATAAAATGAATAATTTTTGAGGTTAATACATCCCTTAACAGATACTCTGATTTTGTGAAAGAATAAAGGCCAAATATATCTGCTCTTTATATGAAGTATATGATTTTTAGCTGTTTACATACAGAAAGAAAATATGTCAGGCAAACAAAAGGAATCTCAAGGCTATATCCATCTCCTATGTCGACCATCTGAGATCTCTGTGTTAAAAAATCACTTAAAAACACTTTTTGCTTGGAGATCCTAGTAATGCTAGATGATTGTCAGAAACCAAAGTTAATTCTTATTTCTGTAAATTAATTCCCAGTACTGACAATCTTTTCTCTGCTTTGCACGTCTCTTTATTACCATTCCATGAAGCTGAAATGGCAAATTGTATGTGCTTACATCTGAAAGGTAAACCTATAGGAAATGTGAGTCAGAACAATTATTTTCCCTTCTTTGCTTCTGTGTCCTTCACGGAAAAAGAATGTAAAGAAAAGGGATCTTAGTTTGTTAAGGAGAAAAATTGAACATGAAACTTTTAAAGAATTAAGTCATACAGCTGATAAAACCCCTGGCCTTCTTGGGGATGAGCCACCTTTGGGTGCTTAGAATGTCATTGTGTCACTTTAGCAATAGAAAAATTCACGCTGGCTCTTCATACAGTGAAAACACACTCTTGTTATCAGATTTCCCTATGGCATAACCTGAATCCTAAGAGGGAGTGGATCCTCTAAAGATCCTAAACTATCATTTGGCACAATGTTTTATGTTTGAAAACACCTTTTTTTTAAAAAATAAGCTTTTATATTTCAAGTCCTCCTTTGAAATTTTTAAATAAATGCAAATAAAATTCTGGCAATTTTAGAGGAAAATATTACTCTGAAAGACATGTTTTTAATTTCAAATTCGATAGTGATGTGATCATTGACTGTGCTAACCAGGCTGTGGGCTTTTCTGTCTTGAGCAGTACCCAGGATGGAACATTGAGGAGGTCACTTCAGTGACAGGTCATTGTCTTACTTTCGGCTCTGGTATGGGGGCTCCCCACTTCTTAAGAAAGCCTGCACTCAAACACTTCACCAAGGCTTCACATTGTCACCAGCACTGGACTCTCGTCTCTGTCACAATAGTAAATGTTGTGAGACTGAGAGGATTGATTCACTGTTAGAGCAGGCTTGTAAACGAGTTCCTATTTTATGTTTTTTTTAAGTGAAGCATAAAAATTCATTATTAATTTTTTCTGTTGTTGCTCTGCATATTAAGCTCCAAAAGAACATCATTATTATATGTCCCATGGTCATTTCACAGACAAAATGAACTTGGCATCTGTTAACAATAAAACTTTATGATATTCTTAACAATGAAAAATCATTTTTGTCTGTTGAAAAATATCTAACTGTTACCAATACCTGATAAATGGCCAGCTCATGACTGATATTTATAAAATAACTCTGTTGTAGAATTGATTCAGAGTATACTTTGATATTTTCCAATTTCTACAACCCCAAAATAGTGTAATACAAACTGCATTTATTTAACTTAATTTTCTATCGAAGAATAACATACTTGTCTATTCTGAAAAAGAACAATTAATGGGACCATTATTCAGTGTATACTTAGATTTATTAAGTGGCAGAACATTGTATCTTCTGTCTGGAATGACAAAATAATGTCATTTTTTTTTCTTCCTGGCAGATCAAAATATGCAGCTCATTCTTCTGTTTTTCCTGTTTTATGATATGGAGCAACTACACTGGAGAGAGCTTTACCCTTACATCTGCCTCCCACCCCCAACCTACCTGTGCCTATCCCCTATGCTTATCCTTGGGACATATTTTTTTTTTTTAAAAAGTCAGTAGCAAAGCCAGATTCATATATGCATACACAATGACAAAGTCTGCCACCTTCCTCCCTTCTTGGAACTGAGGGGTTTTGCTTCCTGGTTGGGGCTGAGCAGGTTTATGTTGCTAATAGCAGAGAATCATTTGGGGACTGTTTCAGGGACTCTGCAAAATAGTAAAGATGTGTTTCTTACTGTTCCAATGACTAAGTGTGGGCTCTAGCATAATCAGTGTTTGATTCTTTCCAGAGTGTTAATACTCTCTTACCAGATGCAGGATTCTCAGCAATGTTGCTGCTGATACATACTCCTGGCAGGGGATTTATTTTCCACTGAGAACTTTCCTAGATAAAACATCTAAGAGCCTTTGTTGACATCCTTGAGTCCTCTCTTCCTTTTTTACCTTGAAAAGTCATCATTGCACAAGTACTTCTATGGTTGCTTAAAACCTGCTGGTTGAAAAGCTACTCCAACACTGAGATGAGAATTGTTTCACATAATTGTTTTTCTATTTGCCATTTACATTTGTCCTTGACTCTTCATCCTCTACTAGGCAACTTTCTCAAGGGCCGCTTTTCTGCATCGGAGGGAATGAATATTGCTCCCAACAGCCACATTGTAGGGGACTTACTTTTTTTGCCATCTGATGCCACTGAGTAAGCACTCTGCCTGCAGTTGATGATGCAGCCACAAGGCAAGTGGGTCCAACGTTTGGACAAGACAAACACCGGGGTTACAGTGGTGGCCAGCAGGGTTAGTAGAAAGCCGAGTGTCTCAAAAGGAAGGCTCTGAAGCCCCACCGCGTGCTTGACCACCATGTGGATCTGCAAAGGGGAGAGAACTTCAGACCTAACTCCAATCCCATTTCACTTCCCAAGCCTTTCCCGCAAGCCCACGGCCCCAGTCTCCCGCTCCAGCCTCCTTCCCTGGTTGAGAAAGTTCTGCTTCTGGGCTGCCTTGCTAGGCTTTGGTGGTGGGCTCTTGGGATACACCCTACTGAGCCAGACTCCAGGGTTTGGTGAATTCTGCTCTTGGATGCTGAGCTCGCTGCCTGTTGAAATCTCCACCAGGGAAGCACAGTCTACAACACGCGGTCGCTGCCCAGGCAAACGGGCAGCATCTGTGGGACCTGTACCCGGCACGCCGAATGATCTTTGTCACCCCCCCCACCCACCCCCAGCCTCATCTCCACCCAGGAGCGCTTGTCAGAGCAAGGCGACACTGACACTTCTCCCGCGGGCTCGACCCGGAGGCCAGAACAAAAGCCTGGTTGGCCCCCTCTCTTGTCGCTCTACAGCACAAGCGCTCCTCCTTGGTCTCCCTGCTGGGCCTAGGCGCGGTCCTCACCTGGCAGGAAAGGAGCACAGAGAAAGGGGCGACAGAAGGCGGAAAAAACCTTTCTTTCTGTTCTGAATATTCCAAATTTTGCTGGGAATTTGATCATAACACAGAAAAACTAAGTCGCCCGTTACGGAAAGTGCTCCTCAAGCCCCTCAGTTTTGAAAGGAGAGTAGTGCTTGGCTGGAAAGGTTCGGTGGCGGACTGCTCCCAGCGGGAAGCCGCCCTCCTTCCAGGGAGTGTCTAAAACCTGGCGAGGCACCTCTCTGGGAAAAGGACTTCACTGCGCATCTTTTGGTGGCTCCCCAAACCCGCGACGCTGGCCTCAACATGCACTCACACTGCCTGGCCCATACGCGCGCATTAGGAGCAAGTGCACTTTTACCATTAAAGGCAGCCAGAGAACGACTTTTGTCAGCGCTAAGATCAAAGCGAAGCGCTTCTGCGCAACGCTCCTGGTGAAGCTCCGGGTGCCGTACGGTGTCCCCCGGTTCTCACGCCTGCAGGCTCCCGCCCCTGAGGCCGCCGGCGGACCGGGTCCAAAGGCAGTGTCCGGACTCCGGGAACATCCCCCAGCGCAGCGCAGAGCGGGACCCGGAGCATCCTCAGGAGACAACGAAAGCTCTCTCCCCGCAGCAGAAGGGGTCCCAGGAGTGGAAGCCCCACGGGAAATTTCCTGGTAGTTGGCATGGAGTCTCGGCGGCTCTTCCGAACACAGCAACTGGTGAGTGAGCGGGACCGAGAGGCCCGCCAGGAGCCCGAAGGCCGAGGCGTACACGGAGAAGAGCAGCAGCACGTAGGAGCTGGAGCAATCGGCCAGGCAGCCCCAGGGCGTGCGCACGAAGGCGCCCCAGCCGCACAGCGGGAGCGCGGAGAGCAGCAGGCTGGCTGCCCACACCGTGAGCGCCACGCCGAGCACCTGGCCAGGTCTGCCGGAGGCCGCCGGGCTCCCCTCAGCCCGGTGCATGGTGTAAAAGTTGTAGGAGACCAGGAGAGTCGCTTTCAAGTTGCTGGAGAGGCCCTGGCATAAGTACAGCAAGGCGGACGTGGTGCACAGAGACTGGAAGTAGCCCGGGAGCTCTTTTGGCCACTGCAAAAACATGAAGATGGTCACTGACAGGACACTCAGGAGATCATCCACAGACCAGGAAGCCACGAGCATGGACACGACTGTTCTGTTCCGCATTCCCAGCAGGTTCACGAGTGAAAAAATGCTGCCCGCTAGGGCTGCAAGAGCCATCAAAAATGTCAGGCAAAAAAGATAGATATTCAGAGTTCCTGGTGAATTTAAAAGGTCCGTAGAATTATGATTTTCTTTCCACAGGCTAGAGTCATTTGCTAGTAAGTTACTGAGGAAGAAAGACATTGTCCTTGATCAATATTTAATTTCCCTTCTCAATGAGTCTGATGATTTTCTCAAAATAAAGCATGGTTGTTGCCAATCGGATGTCATTTCTCCTACCAAGTTTCCCTCTAGGTGTCCCTCAGTCCTGCAGGAAACAGTCAGGCATGGCTTCTTTAGATCTGACTTAACCCATATCTAAAAACTGAGTTCCATTTCAGGCATCAATAAGCAACTTTTCAACATTCCAATTAAAGACAGACAAACTCCAAACTCCTTTCCACAACCAAATTTCCATCAAGAAAGCAAAAACTCCTCAGGTAGATTGACAATCAATGATGTCTAGGTCCTTTGGGGTCCTTCTTATGGAGGAAAGCAGCCCGTAGCTGGATGTAATCAAACTATTCACTTTTTAGAGCAATAAAAGGATGCATTTGGTTCCAGAGCTGGATTCAGAAGCAGAGAGACTGTCAGGTAGGTTTCAGCTTTTATGGGGGAGAGAGAGAGAGAGAGAGAGAGAGAATATGAATATGAGCAAGCAGAGCCAGCCTGTACTCAGGCTCCCATCGGAACCTTTGTGTTCTTCAATCAGCCTGTGATCCTCTGAGCTGCAGGAAGGAGGAGTCAGCTCCAAGCAGGAAAGAAGCAGGGAAAAAAGGGAGGGGAGTTCTGTGTGAACAAAATGATGTGTATCTTCTCAGCCTGCCTCACTTGAAGCAAAACCAGTGCCCTTGCCAAGACTTCCTCTTCGGTTTTGACACATGAAACTAGTCCAGATACTGGATCAGGCTGGATGTGAAGTACAAATGTCGCCTCTGAGAGGGCTAAAGGACTCCAGTAGGTACAGGGCTCCAGTAGGTACAGGGCTCCTTTTATCTCATCTCCACTTTCCTGCTCCATAACCCACTGGAAGAAGAAAGAACATCATCCATACCATTTACGAGAGTAGGATGTAACAGGTTTCTCTTTACAAACATATTGTACAGAAAGACAAATGCCTCAGGTCCTACTCTGTGGAAACTGAAAGAGTTGATCTAAGGAGTAGAATAGTGGTTACTAGAGACTAGGAAGGGAGGGAGGGATGGGAAGGTACCAAAATACAGTTAGATAGGAGTAATTATCACGCTCTGTAGCATAGTAGGGTAATTATGGTCTATAAGAATTTCTTATGTATTTAAAAATAAGTAGAAGAGTCCAAAAGTTCCCAACACACAGAAATGATAAATATTTGAGAAGATAGAAATGCTGATCACATACATTGTACACATAAATTAAGTTATCATACTGTACACCATAAATATGTATAGGTATTTTGTGCCAACCATATATAAAATTGTATTTCAGGATGTCACATGGCCCTCATTACAATTAACAAGACTCTGGAGGACTTGGGATAGAGTTATATGCGCTTTAGGCTTCATTTTCTACCAATGTCATTAAGTAAGCAAGCGGTCATTTGAATCAATGACATTTCTAGATGTTCATAAGGTCAGATGACATTATAAAGGGTCTGAAGGAAGGTCACTACACACAAAAAATTTTAAGTAGAGTATTTGGGGCACTGGGGTACAATGGTGGCGACTTTATAAGATGAAAAGTGTAGCCAAGAAGTGACTGACAGCTGTCATCCTGGCTGGGTGTTGATTACCTGGGTACTTGACAGTGGCATGCCTCCTTGGCTCTGCCTGTGATCCGATGGCTGCATTTCTGGGCTCAGTGCTGGAGGGCTCCGTTGGTATGGCGATGATCTAAATGAATGGAAATGGTGATAGAACTGCAATCATTCCTTTCATTTTTAAAATAACTGAAGTTCCTTTTTGAACCTGAACCTGTTCAAGTGGAAAATGACTGTGTTAGTCACTGTTGGCCACGCCCTTCAGTGACACTAGGCAGTTCACTCAGCTTGGCTCACTGATTGTTTGGTTTTCCTCTCCACTCAACAAATAGAAACAAAACCCACAAGTGACATCTAGCTCAGCAGTCTAGCTCTCCCTGTTGTTAGGAATGCACACACCTTGCTGAGCTGTGTGAGTAAGACAGGGCCGGGGGTATGATCATTTTAAAATGATTCAGAAAGCGCAATGATCAACAGACCTTATTTTGAATGCTTTCAGAGTTCTGACGCATGCCATGTCACTTCTTCTTGAAGATCTTATTCCTTTTTCAAAAAAATTTTTATTTGTTTTAATTAGTTATACATGACGGTAGAGTGCACTTTGATACATCATATATAATGGAGTATAATTTCTCATTCTTCTGGTTGTATATGATGTAGAATCACACCAGTCCTACAGTTGCATATACACATAGGGTAATAGGTCTGATTCATTCTACTGTCCTTCCTACCCCCAAACCCCCTCCCCTCCCTTCACTCCCCTCTACCTAAAGTAACTCTATTCTTTTCTAGCTTCCCCCTTATTGTGAATTAACATTCACATATCAGAGAAAACATTCGGCCATTG